ATTATCGTAAGAGATTAATCTTATTATAAAATATATGCCAAAAGATATGCTAAATTATTAGAAGTCCTATTTGATAGCCCAAGATTGATTAACCAAGATGTGGTGAATTGATTTTTAAAACTTTTTCAAAAAATAAATTTAAATCAAGTTAAGAAAGAAGTTAATCAATTAAGCAACAATCGTAAGGAAAAAAAAAATAGATTAATCAAATAATAAATGTAAACTAAATAACGATAAGTAAAATGGAAGAGAGGATGCAAACAATATAATTGTGGTGGTTCGATCCTGAACAATATATATATAATATACGTCCTCCATTACCAAATATTGACAAACTTATGATGCAATCCAAACCCTTACAATGCTTTCAGCGACTTGTAAATAATAAGCACCGATTCTTGTTGTATTGAGCATTTACGGGACCTCAATATGATTTACAAGTTTAGAGCAATGGTTTTATAATGAGATTTTTCTCTTAATAAATGATATAAATAAATTAAGTACTAAGAGAGACTAACATTTTAATGAATAGCAATAAATGATAGTACAAGCGTTAGGCAAAAAACTTTAATGAATACGATAATTTAAAAAAATGACAAAATCAATTAAAGTTTTTCAAATGAGAAGATGAAGAAGAAATAAGTGCAACGTAAATTCAAAATTCTTCTCAAAATATTTTTTTCCTTTAATAATTTGGTAACAACAAATTAAGTACTAAAAGAGAGATGAGAAATTTAGATGAATATGATGATTTTACAAATTTGATTCAGTCAATCAGAGTTTTTGATATAGAGAAGTAGAAGAAATAGATGCATGTGAGTTCAAGAATTTGCTCAAAATATATCTCTTTAATGAATGGTAGCAATAAGTTGAGTTTTGATGAAGATGATGATTAAAAAATTTGATTCAATCAATTAAATTTTTTTAATATGAAAAAGTAGAATAAATGAAAATTAAGTTTAATGATTTTATTAAAACATTTTTCTCTTGAATGCACTTCAAAACTCTTGTAAGTAATGAATGTAAAAAAAGAATCTATTTACAGAGTTTAAAGAGCAAAACTTTTTGGGAAAATGCACAAGGGTCCGGACTTCTGCCTCATGTCTGCATGTGCAAAAATAGCTGTTTTACATTATAAATCAAAATGGTAAAAAATTTGACTGTTGCACTTTCTAGACCTCCGCCCGATGTATCTGGACTCCGCCTTTCGCGAGAGTTCAGATGAGTGTCTGAACGTTCATCAACTCCAATTGAACGTCGAGTTGGTTGTGGCCAGTTAGATCGATTTTCCTATTTTTGCTCCCATTTGATTTGATTTGAATGTTTTGACAAATGTTGACTTTTGACGTTTGATATAAGAAAAGCTAATTTTTGACATTTTTTTGAAGTTTAGGTCTTAGACTCTCGTACTGATTTTTCTTTGAAATTCAACTCTTAAGCTCTTGTCTTGAATGCATGGATGACTTCGATCTTGACCTTCATTATTAGTCCGATTTGATAGTCTTGATCTTTGACAACAATTGATTAGTTGATCATTGAATGTTTTGAAGACTATAATCGCTTGAATTCAATTGTTAGAAAACAAGATTAGCTTGTTTATCATGATCGTTATAAGCATAAAGTTAAAGATACGTCAACACATCATACTTTAGTGATGTTGGATGTTACTTTTTCTAAGATTAACTTATTTGTTATGATCAAAACTATAAGGTTAAATTCAACCATAGGTCAACACTATCTTATCATGACCTAAATTTGTTAGAAGTCTAATATATGGAAATATAACTTTAATTTAACAAATCCTAGGATAGTATAAAATATATTCTGCACTAGCTGTGTATATATATAAGATGAAATCTGATCATGTTATATAAGATAAAGCAATAAAATTCATAGCTTAAAATTTCTGGATTGATCGGCTTACCATCCCAGTTAGTTAGGACTGACCATTTGTTAGGACCTGACCCTATTTTACATTTTTGGCAATTTTCTTGACATTTAACAATCAATCCACTCGTTTAGTAAGTAAATAAATTATTATGAACAATCTCCACCTTTGACTTGCTTAATTTCAAAAGCTAACAACAATTTTTTGATGTCATGTGTGTGATAACTATGATCAAGTTTTCCATATGATCTACTCTCCCTTAGTTAGCATAGCCAATTGAAAACAATTATCCACATTCCATCACCAAAATGCATAATCCCCCTAACTCAAACACCCTAATTAATTCTACTACTTTCCCTTTTTTGGAATTAAGGGAACTTTCGTAGCCAGATTAAAGAAGGGCAGATTTCTTAGACTTCTTACCAGGAGCATTAGTAGCAACAGTTGCTTTAGTCTAATGTGATAGGAAGTCAGAACCCTGTCCTTTCTGTGCTGCAAGAATGGAACTCGTTGTTTCTTAGTCTCCCTCTTACGTATACCTACCATTTATTATCTGCAAAAATTTCTTAAAACTACGAAAATTCTAGATCAAATGAAATGAGCAATTTCTAACACCAAATAAAGTTGAACTGAATCCTCGTGTTCAACCAAAATTTTGTTTCTAAACATTTTCGCTCAATTTTTCGTTTTTGGAGTGGATACCAGAGTTTACTGTTAAATTTGGCTTGTTAATCAAAAAATATGAGAAAAATCCCACACGTGTCAAACACACAAAATATGAAAATTTATGCAAAATTGAATCAATCACAATATTTTTGGTCAAATTTTACAATCAACTCAATTTCACAATTAACTTAAAATTGTTACGATAAACATGAAATTTCCATTCAGATGTCTGCTCAAGATTAAGTCAATTAATTTTTGAGATTAAGATGTGAGTGTGTGACAGGACTATCTAACCTAATCGATTATGAATCACATCCTAACCATGGTTGACACTTGCATTAACTACGTATAGAAGTGTATTTCAAACCAACCATCATTAAAATTGTCCATATATATAAATATAAATTTATGTGTGCCATATTTGAGCATGTATATAAATATTTTCAATTATCTTTTGAATAATCACATGATAACTCCTTTTAATTTTCTTTTAATTTAAAATATTTTTAATTCATGAAGTTGACTTTCACACAAGCATATGATTAGCTTTTCTCTCTTGACTTGTGGTCATTATTAAGGACAGCTTTTCACATCTATGGTGGTAGCCCTCTGATTAGATGAATTTGCCAGTTTATAAAACATGTAGCAGTATAGAGAGACATAGATACTGAGTATAGGTCTACATTCAAACACTTGTCACCTTAAGATAACAACCTAGCTAGTAAATGATCACAATGAAGTATTCACAATGTTCTAGTAGATGTACTTATCTGACAATTATTTACCATAAGTTATAGTGAGCACACCACACTGCTAGGAGAATCGAAGTTCATCTCAACATTACAAACCAATCAGAAATTCTTATCTTGTGACATTTGCAAGAAAAGCCCCAATTTCTCTTTTTATCTTTTTCAATTTTCTTTTTGTTTTTATATAAATAAATACAACACAACTGCATACAAAGTGAACATAGAAAATTTAAAAATTAAAAAAATATGTACATCAAACAGGTTTAATCTAACATTATCTAAAAGCCTTAGTGAGTAAATTAGTCAGTTGCCGTTAGTGAGAATGTGTTCTAGGACAATTATATTCCTCTCAACTAAGTCTTTGATGAAGTGATGTCGAATTTCAATGTGCTTAATCCTAGAATGATGAGCACGATTCTTAAGATATTAATTGCACTACTATAATCACAAAACATGGTATAGAGTCTTGATCAATACCATAGTCACTGATCTTCTACTTCATCTAGAGTAGCTATGTACAGCAATTACTATCAACAATATACTGAGCTTCTGCGGTAGACAAGGATATATAGTTTTGCTTCTTAATTAGCCAAGATAGGAGATTATTACCCATTAGAAACAACCTCAGATGTGCTTTTTCTATCATCCATGTTTTCAGTCCAATCAACACCTGTATATCCTGCAAGATGAGAATTTGCCCTTTAATGTACTATTAACCAAAGTTCAAAGTGATATTAAAATATCTAATAACTCGTTTAACAACTGCCAAGTGGGATTCTTTTGGTTGGGCTTGATATCTTGCACAAACTCCAACACTGAATGCTTTATCAGGACGGCTTGCAATCAAATACAGCAATTGTTTATCATTTTTATGTAAGTCGACATCCTTTCCCTGGTCATCTCTTCAGATTTTCAAGGACATAGTCATGGGAGTCTTGATTCCCTTGGTGTTTTTTAGACCAAATCTCTTTATCAAATTCTTCGCGTACTTCGATTGCAAGATAAAGATTCCCATTTCAACTTGTTTAACCTACAAAGCCCAAAAAAAAAAAAAGTTTAGTTTACCAACCATACTCATTTCAAACTCGTTTTGCAGGGGAGTAACAAGTTCCTTAGATTTTGTTTCATATGTGGATCCCAGTACTATGTCATCAACATATATTTGAGCCACAATTAATCCAGACTTAAGCTGTCTGACGATCAATATTTTATCAGCTCCCCATTCTTTGTATCCTTTTATAAGAAGGAACGTAGTAAGTTTTTCATACCAAGATCGTGGAGCTTTTCAGCCTATACAATGCATTTTTAAGCTTGAATACATGGTCAGAAAGATAAGGATCAATGAATCCTTTTGGTTGCTCTACATATGCTTCTTCATTCAAGATTTCATTTAAAAAGGCACTTTTAACATCCATATGATAAAGTTTGAACTCCATCTAAAATGCAATAGACAATAAAAACCCGATGGATTCAAGTCTTGGGACAGGTGCAAATATTTCATCAAAATCAACTCTTTCAACTTGGGTATAACCCTGTGCTACCAGTCATGCCTTATTTCTGACAATGTTGCCATGTTCATCTGATTTGTTTTTAGAGATCCATTTTGTTTCAATCACATTTATATCTGTTGGCCAAGGTATTAACTCCCATACATTATTTTGTTCAAATTGAGTCAATTCTTCCTGCATTGCTAGTACTTAGGATTCATCACGAAGTGTCTCAATGACATTGTTAGGCTCAGTATGTGAGGTATAATAAACATTTCCAAGTTCAGTGGCAAGTCTCTTTTTGGTCACCACACCGTCTCCAAGTTCTGAAAGTTTGTTATCCAGTGAATGAGCCTTTTGTATCCACGTAAAAGGCCGCCTTCTATTCTGCAGTTCGTCATCTTCCTTTGGTGGGTCAGCACCTCCAGTAATTGGTGCAGGATCAGGAAAACCTGCTATTGGTAGTTCTGTCGGATTGTCATTACCTGAGTCTGCAACACACTTTTCCTGAGTATTCTGATTTTCTTCAATCCGTTCTTCCAAATTCTGAATTTCAGGTTCTTGTGAATAAGAAATAAAGTCATCAATATCATCGCTTTTAACATTAATGGACTCAATAATGGTTTGAGTTCACATGTTGTAGATCGTATAAGCTCGACCACTTTTAGAATATTCACTGAATACACCCTCATCACTCTTTAGATTAAATTTCTCCAAATGTTTCCCATGATTTAATACATAACACTTACATCCAAATGTGTCAAACACTTGAGGTTCGGTCTTATACCTTTCCAGATTTTATAAGGGGTTTGTGGGGGTCCTAGTTCTCAATGACACACTGTTTAGGTTGTAGCAAGTAGTGTTTATAGTTTCAACCCACAATTTAAAAGATAATTTCTTAGTGTTGAACATCATCCTAGCCATCTCTTGTAAAGGCCTATTCTTCCTTTCCACCACACCTTTTTGTTGAGGGACTTTAGGAGTAGAAAACACATGAGAAATACCATACTCGTCATAGAATCTAGAGAAGCTAACATTTTAAAATTCCTTATTATGATCACTCATAATTCGTACAATTTTAGTCCCTTTAAAATGTTTTTCAATGGTCAGTTTTTAATATAAAGATGTGTCTTTAAAAAATATCAAATTTCTCCTTTAAGAAGTCTACCAAGTGTACCTAAAGAAATCATCAACAACCACATAAATATCCCTTACTATTGAGGCTTTCAGTCTGAATTGGCCTCATCAATTCCATATATAGCAATTCAAGACAGTGAGAGAGAGCAATGAACTGTTCTTGTTTGGTTACCTTTTTGGCATGATCCACACATACGTTCAAGTTTTCTGTGTGCTTACAAACTCCTCTTATTACATTTAGCTTGGTAGACAAGATATGCATAGTTCAAGTGTTCCAATCGTTTGTGCCATAGGTCGGTAGAATCATCTATCGTAACGTGATATGAAATTTCAGATTCAAGTATATGACATTTATCACTAGACGTAGTACCATGTAGGACATTGCTACCATCATTTTTCAGAACCTTACATGTAATTTTAGTGAGCATTACCATGAGTTCATCATTATAGAGTTAACCTACACTAATCATGTGAGGTTTTAAGTCAATAATAAACAAAACATTATTCAAAACAGGTAATCCATCTATCAAAATAGTATCAACACCATCAATTTTACTTTTAACCCCATCCCAAAGAGTATCTAGACCACATGCATGACTTTTATAGTTAGCATGGAATGATTACTAGTCATTTGTCTAGAGCAGCCACTATCAAAATACCAAGAGTTAGGCACAATATATTTTTATTTTATATTGACAACATAGCAACTGAGATCATTTTTCTTATCAAACTTACCTTATTTTAGCATTAGGATCCTGTTTTAAAGTACTAGCAAGCAAGTTAACTCTTTTTGTCACATGCTGCTTCTTGTATGGATAATAATCGTTTTAAGTAACTTGAGAATTTACTCTCAACATGCTTAGTATCATACATGAAATTTTCACATCTGGAGGTTACGAATAAATCTAAGTACCTTAGAATATTATTGATTTGATATATTTATAGGATATATAGATACTCAAACTCTTATCCTAAGGTCTCGAATTAGACCAATTAAATTATGTCCGCTCTTTATAAGAAATATATATTTCTTATAAATAAAAGTGTTTATGAAATTATCTCATCTTTTAAGAATTTTTATTTTCTTTGTTGATTAATTACTTTATCTTGGAATGAAAAAAAAGAGTGTTTTTATGAATATCTGATAGTTATTTCGACATTATTTTTTTATTACGAAAAGGAAGTAGACAGTGTATTAATTCATGCATCATGACGTGAATTCTCTCTCTAAATAAATTAAGTATATATGAAAGAAAGAATAAAAAAGAACTCTTTTTTGCAATTCCATTTTTTCGAGTTTATTTCATTCGTATTCTCCTTTCTTCGAAAAGGCGGGCATTATCAAAGTAGAAGATTACTTTGTTCATAATTTTCTCCTATAAATACTGAAGGTAAAGGAGCTGTAAAGCCACTGGAAGCCATCACCCTTACTCACAAATCACACGGTAGGTTTTTTAAAGGTTCCTTTCTGGTTTTCTCTCTGGTATTTGCCTATCTTTCTTGCTGTGAGTTCTAAGGCCAAAGGGCTCTAATACCAGTGTTGCAATATGAACTCAAAGATGAAGAAAAACATCACTTTTTCATACAAGCAATAGTGCAAGACACAGCTAGAACCTATATAGCCATCATTCTATTACATCACAAAAGTTTTTATCCAACCAATTATTCTTACCTACTACCACTTTGCTTATATAACAGCCTACTCATTTCCCTGCAAGACCATACATTTTATAAATTAAGCTGAGACTTAGTAAATCAAGAATATAGGAATAATAACAACAAAAGTATCAATGCGAAATGTCAATACATTCTTTAAATTATGTTTGTTTAGAGTTGGTGTCTTATTTACCAGATTATAAACTTTGATTCAATTAGTGTTGTAAGTTCAAACCACTTTATCACTTATATATTGTACAACCAATACTACTCATTTCTTTTTTATTTTCAAATTATTTATTAAACGCGTTTGCATAGATGGTTCTATTTAGTATTTTATATTGTGAGACGCATCAACTTTTAAACTTTTTTATTTTTAAAATATTAACTTTTAAATTTGTGATTACATTGATGCATCTTTTCTTGTTAAAAATAAATATTTTGTTTAGTTTCTGAACTCGCCGTTGGTGGAACCGCTGACATGGTACATCGATCAGTTCGAATATTGGATCAGATTTATTAACTATGACGATATGAATAATAATTTACAATAGCAAAATTATCTAAGAAGATGCTTATAATTTAAATAACACACCACTATTAATGAGTCTTGTCCTTTAACAGAAGTACTTTTTTTTAATATGACCTTTACTTTTCAATGGAGTCTCAAGTTCAGATCAATAATCTCATAAGTTTCAGCTCTTAACAATTCAAAACTGAGACATACTTTCATCTCACAATTATAGCATGTTTGATACATACTTTAAGCCACCGTTTGGTCTCCATCTTTAGAAACTTATCTTTTTCAAACTATTTTTAATCACAAATTTTTCTAATAAACTAATTTTATACATAAATTTTGATTTTTTTTTTTTTTAACTTTTTAATCACAAATTTTCCAAAAATCACTTTATAAAGTTCATTTTTCACAACAAATGGTGATCAAACAGAGTCTAAAGTGAATTGATCTTCAAATAATGGCAAATAATTTACACGTGTTTGCTTTTCAATGTTCCTACTTTTCTAAACTCTCGTTAGATTAGTTACACGAGTGGCCCGATTTCTATTGAAAATTGGTAGTATACCTTGAAGACATATTTGCCAGTTTTTGGACTCATATTTCAACTCTAATACTCCATTATTGATTTTACCTATTGTAATAAGACTTCACCTTGTGTGAAGACTTTTGTTTGTATTAATTCCCCTGCTGTGTTAGAGATTTGTATTATAAATATATTTAGTATTGCATATATTTATTTGATCGACTCAAAGACTAGTCCAAAAGGAGATCCAAGTTAATAGGGAGACTCGCAGATGCGGATATATGGAGAGAGTATCGTGAGATCTCACATAATATATTTTAACTCTTTATTTTTGATATAGTGAATTCTCCGCCTTTGCTCGTTCTTTTTTCCTGTCTTAAATTTTCATTTAATATCTTTGCGTTCTTGTTTGCTCGATTTATTTCATATTGTACATATATCTTGCTCAATTTCTAACAACTTGGCATCAGAGCTATCACCAATTTTTTAATAAGTGGTATTAGAGCCAAGGTTCGGTAGTTCATGGTAGAGCATGTTTGGTTTTGTATTAGAGTGAATTTGATCAACTCAAAATGAGGCTTGATTGTTTCGGACGGACAAGTATGACATTTGATATTTCGCTTTTGGATCATAACACCAGATTTTTGTTATGACAGATTTTTGTTTGGACACTGGAATAGAAGCAACGTAAGGATCGAGTTGTGATAAAGGGGCAGAGAAGGTCCCAATTATATGGCTTAAAAGGTTTGATGATCACGTTTGATGCAACTATCATTAAATTGAAGAAAAGAGATATTAGACATCAGAAGAGGTTCGATGAGGCTGATTTAGTTTCTTACAGTTTGATAAGCATCTACTCGGATATAGTTGATTGTGATCGGGTTGCTCTTGGTGATAATTCGAGCAAAATTGGTATTAGAGAACTTGCTACTAGTTCTTGTAGAGTAACTTGGTAGAGTGATTTGTTCGGAGAATGTTGTTAAAGTTAAATAGTTATGTTTTATTTCTTACAATGAAATTCATGTCAAGATGGAGATTTGTTAGAGTTTAGTTGTGACCCGAATTCTATTGAGAGTGGGTAGTATACCTTGAAAAGTCTTGAAGAAGTCAAAGATGTATTTGACAATTTTTGGACTCATATTTCAACTCAAATACTCTATTATTGGTTTTACCTATTATAATAGGATTTTACCTTGCATTAGACTCTTGTTTGTATTAATTCTCTTAGTATTTTTAGGGTTTGTATTATCAATATGTGATGTATTACACATATTTATTTTATCGACTCAGAGAGTAATCCGGGGGACTTAGCTTAATAGAGTGAGACTCGCAGATAGATATTTGGGGAGAGTCTTGTGAGATCCTGCATAACATATTGTAACCTCTTATTTTTGAAATAGTAAATTCCAAGTGATTTTTCTGTCTTTGATTTCTACGTAAATCTTGTGTTATTGTGATTGTGATTGTTATTTTTATCTTGATTATTAACTCGTCAATAATATTCATAACAAATGGCTCAATTTCTAGTTGTATGTATAAATATTAATAGTCAAGTATACACTAGGACCCGTGTCACTGAAAATTTGGACATGTACTTGAAGAATTAGAAAAGTGGTGGCCGGTTCGGTTCCTCACAATAAGGACCCGTCAATTGATTTCTTGCTCAAAATTGCAAAGTAATTTTAAGTTTTGTGGGCAGCAATTTTTAGGGCGCATAAAATTTTTCCGTCCCAACAAGGCCTGCTCAACGGCCTCTACATCCAAGCTTGGACGGCTAGATGTAGAGGTAGGCAAGCCCACAACATGATTTGTCACTAGTCAGGCCTTGATTTCATGTGTAAAGTTACTTGGATCTACACATCCCAACACATTTTGAGACTTTTAGCTTAATGTTTATATATATATAGTAGGTGCAAGCAACGTGCAATGTACGTTTGCTTAGTTTATATTTAATATTTTTGTTTAATAATTAATTTGTTATTAATAAATATGTAATTTTTTTTGATTAATTAAGGGCGTGT